GAGGGCCAGGGTGTCCACTCTCTGACTGACGTTGCCGTCTACGCTCGCGGCCCTTGCCAGGATACCTTTTCCGGTACTTACAATAACATTGACATCTTCTACAAGATTGCCAACTGCCTTGGCCTTGGCAAGAGCGATGCTGGCAGCGGCGAGGACTGCCCCGCCAAGAACTAATCGGTCTTTTAATACCTAGTCCTTGTATGTTGTAGAGAGTATGAAGTATGAAGCATGAAGCCATGCCTAATTTTGAATAATTAATTAGATATTGCACCTTTTTGTTCTACAGTGAAATTGCGTGATTTGATGTATGGGCTGTAACATTCGCTCGCAATTCTGCTTACCTAGGCGCTACACACTTTGTTCACGGACAATGGAGAAGCTGGTTTGAAGAATGTCAACTGATCAGCGAATATATTTGGTATCCGAGGGCCTCGTAGGCAACAATGATCAAACCATATAAGAGTACCTAGGTTTAGCAAAGGGAGCAGAGACAATAGTTGAGCTACTCCTGGTATACCATTGGGCAACATGGTGATTTCTGTAAGTAAACTGTGGAAGAAGTTCCCACGCGGCTGCTTGCCGGTCAGCGATTCCCCTGCCTGCCGACAGAGCGGATAAGTGAAAATAACAGGTCAGAAGATCATGGAAACTCAATACTTTTAATCACTCTTGGCAACGCTCTCGGTGCCCCTCGGGTGGGCGTCTCATGCCGTTGCTTCTATCTTCAGAATAATCCGGTCCGTAATGCTCCAACCAATGGACGGCAGGGCTGCTCTACTTTTGCCGCAATTGATTGATGACCACGAGAAGATTTCTAAGCAGTTCGGGATCGACGGCTTCCTTCTGCGCCTCGAAGGGCCCCTTGGGGACGAGACATGAGGAATGGAGCCAGATGTCCTTGGTGCAGTGAGCGCCAAGGTCGGCGATCAATTGGGTGGTGTTGGTGGACCGGACGCCACCTCCCACGGTGATCTCGAGATCTGGAAGGGCGTAATCGATCATCTGGTGCAGTTTCTGGGAGTCTGTGTGCGATTCCGGGCCGCCAGAGGTCAGGAGGCTGTCAAACTTACACTCGAGCAGGTCGTCGAGACCTTGCTTCCAGTATTCGTCCGTCTGGGCGATCGGGTCGAAGGCGCGGTGGAAGACGCAGGGATACGGCCGCGCTGTTTCGACGAGGACCGCGCAGCGCTCCTTGTCTACCTCGAGTCTTGCGCCCTTCGCCAGAGGCACGCCGGTGTCGCCTGCTGGTTTTTCATCTCTCTCCTTCAGGATGCCGAAGACGAACCCGTCTCCTCTCATGAGGTCCATTGCGCCGCAGTTCTTGAACTCGATAATGTCCCATTTCATCCGGGTGAACTCGTCATCTGTGTAGATAAAATCATCCTTCCGCTGGGGGTGCCGGGGATCGGGGATGCTGATGGGACGGATCATGATGCGGAGCGGGATTTTGAGCTCGCCCTTGACGGCGAGGACCTCGGACAGAGGTGGTGTGAGGCCCCCGCGACGGTACGAGCCGGGAGCGCTGAGCTCCACGCGTTCGGCATCTAGCAACTGGGCTTTGAGAGCGCAGCCGGCGGAGAAGACGGCAACCTCGAGTTTGATGTTCCGCTCGAGGAGGGACATGGTTGGCTGTATACAAGAGGTGATACTTTCTTGCGTTGATGGCGATTGAATCTCTGGCAACTGATCTCAACGGAGGGCTGCGCTTGATAGTTTCCGTCGGAAGCCAGACTACCCTGGGCGATGGTCTGGAGGAAAGCGAGAGAGATGAGATTGCTAGCTGCGAGGAAGAGGAAGTTTTATTGACGAGGACCCGGGTGTAGAGACAGACAATTGAGGAAGGGTCACATTGGTGGTGAATTATGGATTGAGTGCAGGTCACGGTTTATCATCAACCCATCTCTAGGCAGCCAGTCTTGTCCCATTGTTGGATGGAGTCAATGAAAGCGGCAGGTGAGGTGTAAGTGAGTGAATGGGTGATCAGATGACCCGGTCTTCGGACAATACGCTTCACAATACATGGGAGGGACAATGACCAGCAAGCGTGAATCAACGCAATGTGCCGTGACTTGTCGACTTGATTATTGTCTCTCTACCTTACCCATCTGATGCAATTAGGGAGACGGAGGAGAGCCACAGGCATCCATACCTGATAATTATCCGGCTTCTGGTGGGCACTGTGTGCTGATGGAGATGGTGGACCTTTTTTGTGGTTGCGCTGGAAACCAAAACGTCAGAGCACTGAAAGGAGAGAGAGGCGAATTCAGTGGGGTGCTGGAGGGGCTTGAGGGGTCCAATCTTCAGTAATGATCCCCTCCGCACGCCTTAAACTCCGGTCCCATTACGTCGGCTCTCAGTGGCTTTATGGTGCTCTCTACCCACTGGCTTAGACCAATCTAGGATGCAGCTCCCCTGGAGCACAGACTCACAGAGGGTCCTTGGTGGATCTCCGAGCTGGAACCCAGTGACATCAGCTCGAGCTACCCCACCACCAACCCAATTTTCTACTTTTTTTCTTTTTTTTTTTTTGTTGACCGCCCGGCATCAACGAGCTCTGGTAGTATGAAGGTGAATATGTAGCGTGTGTAGTAATAATCTGTGTAATTGCAACCATTCGGCCTGCCTGGCTGGAAAAATTTGCACCAAGCCCAGTTTTTTTTCTTCTTCCATCTTCCTCTTTTAGCTCTAGCTAGGAAGCTACCTGCGCAAATCCTCCCCAGCGACCTGTGCTCGGAATATAAAGAAAAGCTCTTGCCCATCCCACCATCGCGGCGCAAGTTTCCTTCACACATCCAATCTAGCCCCTCCTTGTCATCTTCACCTCCCCTTATCCCTTAGAATCCCAGCTAGATTGCGCTGTGTTCAATTCAAAATGTCCGCCGACGAAGAGAAGCCCCTCGTCTCCTTTGAGCAGCTCGCCGAGCTCGAGGATGACTTCGAACAGGTTGATCTCGAACTCAGTGAGTGCTTTTTTGGCCCTTCCCAAGATGTCGTGTGCGCGGGGTAGACATGGATTGCTATGCCCAATCGCATCCGGAGCGCGCCTTATCATGGCGCATTGAGAAGGTGTTATTTGCTGACTTGCGCTCGCTTCCAGCCCGCTACCAGGACAAGCTCACCAAGGACCTCTACGTCAAGCGTGAGAAGATTATCGCCAACATCCCCCACTTCTGGAACAGCGTCTTCGAGGTCGCCCCCGAGGAATTTGAGCACGCTTTCAAGGAGACCGATGGCAGCCTCCTTCTATCCCTCAAGAACCTGTTCGTCACCCGCTTTGAGCTGCCCAACGGTGACCCTCGCAGCTTCTCCATCAAGTGGGAGTTCGAGGAGAACGAATTCTTTGAGGACAAGGTCCTGGAGAAGAAGTTCATCTACCGCCAGTCCCTCAAGGGCGACGTCTCCGGCCTCGTTTCGGAGCCCGTCAAGATCAACTGGAAGGCCGGCAAGGACCTGACCAACGGTCTGCTTGACCTCGTCCTCAAGGTCGATGCTGAGGACAAGGCCGGCAAGGGTGACGAGGAGACGGATGCCAAGAAGGAGCTCAAGAAGAAGATTGAGGACACCCCTCTGGGTGACCTGAGCTTCTTCACCTGGTTCGCCTTCCGTGGTCCCCGCATCACCGAGGAGGAGCACAAGGAGGCTCTCAAGAAGGAGGAGGAGAAGCGTCAGCTCCGCAAGGCTGGCAAGCCTGTCGAGGACGACGAGATGGAGGAGGATGAGGAGGATGAGGATGACCTGTTCGACAAGGCCTACGAGTACGAGCCCTACCCCGCTGCCGATGACCAGGCTCTGTGCATTGCCGAGGACATCTGGCCCGATGCCATCAAGCTCTACCGTAAGTCTTTCTTCAACTAGTATCTAAACTGCGTATATTTTGGATGTTGGCTAACCCATTGGCTTTTTTTTTCTAGTACAAGCCCAGGAAGATGACATCCTGAGCGACTTCGAGGATCTAGACGATGAGGATGAGGATGAGGATATGGATATGGCCGACAAGGCTGAGCCCGCCAGCAAGAAGCGCAAGGCTTAGATGACGAGACGAGACGAGATGATGACCGAAAAAAAGATGATTCCCGATGGGCATTGATGATTTTTATTTTTGTTTAATGCATGCGAGTATATACACTTTTGAAAAGGAGATAGCTTCTGGGACTTCAACTTTTTCATATAGATTTACAAGGATCAATTACCTACACTTTCAATATCCATTCCTTCCTCTATTTTCGTTACGTTGAAATATTTTGTTGGTGTTCGTCCCGGCGCCAGTCTATCCAGTAGACGTTCTCGCATCTTGCCGTGCCTATCAGTTACATGCAGCTTTCACATCATTCATTGGACTTTCTCCAATCCTCCCGTGGCCAAAAACTGCAGTGTAAGTATTAAGCTTGACATTGATAAAGTTTACCATAATTATGTGTGGTGGTAGCCTGATTGCAACTTTATATGTGGTTAAGCGATAGCAAGGCGTCGGTCGCTGAACCGTTTGGGGATAAGGTATGCATAAGAAACAATGAGATACAGTAGCGTCTCATGGCCGCGAAAACATGAGAATTGTTGACATGGTTCAACTTGGGTGCTTGATTGGTAATGGGGTATCACTGTTGGCTGTTCCATGACGGGGTCATGACATCAGATAACGGGCCTCCAGAATGGGAATGTGCCCAAGATGCGGTGTTGAGCACCGAGTTTCCCCTTCAAGCCACCACGGCCAGCCTACCACCTCATCCATCCAGCTGCCATTGGCCAGCAATACTCCCATCATTGCCACCCCCTCGCACTGCACCGTGATTCACTGCTTGTCCTTGGCGCGTGCCACCATGCGCGCTGCCAATTAGGTAAATATATTGGACGGGGTCCCGGGTGAGCCGTGTGGTTGTACCGTCGAGATGATCCTATCGCGACTTGTCAGAGTCGCATCCGCCCGTCTCGAGCCCAGTCGCTGTCGACCTGTAGTCCATTCTATCGCACGAGCGAGATCTATTCATACCGGGATATCTGCTATGGCGACTGCCCACCATGTACACGTCCGGCCGGTGGAGTCGGGCATCTTGGCAATTAAGCAGGATGAAGAGACCGCTGCCAAGGTCTCGGACCTCCTGCAAAAGGATCTCGAGGTAATTGGAAGTCTTTGATGGATTAGCCTGGCCGCTGTTTCTTATAAGCTACAACGCTAGATTACAGCTAACAACAGGCCTCAGAATCACCATGTCTACTTCAACGCGGAAGGGTTCCATAATCATGTATGTAGGCGTTGCCTTCCTCATCTCACGAGCCGGAGATCTCAAATGAAATGAACCAATAACTAACATGTTGCAGATTCCGCACCATCTCTTGACTCTATACGGCACTGGCGCCAATTCCGGCCATCTTCAGGTGGCGTACGACACCAATGCCACCTATCAAAACCGAGCCAGACCACCAAAGACCCAGGTTGTCGAGGAGCTTGAAGCGGATTACACCAGTGCAGCCCCCAAATACTTCTCCCGCGGCACCCAGTATTCCTCCTTCCTCGAGTTCTTCGAGCGTGAGATTGAAAAAAAGGGCTGGCAGGACGTCGTTAGCGAGTATGTCTTTGCCGACTCCGATGTCAGCCGCCAGCTCTTCTCCCGGCTCTATGCGGGCTTCCTCCATCCCATGATCCAGCTCATGTTCGGTCTGGAGTGGGAGCAGCCCGCAATCATCGCTGAGGCCCTCGCCCAGGCTGCTGTCCACAACGACAGGCTGGGCGAGGCGATGAGCAAGGCCGAGGCGGCCGCCAATCAGCGGAACCATCCGCGCGTGCCCTTTGCGTCGCTGTTTGAGAATATCCGGAGCGCGGAGAGCAGGAAGCTCGTCCATAGTGCTCATTGGGACGACCCGAATCGTGTCTATGATGGGGTCCTGGGAAGGGCTCCCCAGGAGGCCATCGATCTCATGGCCAAGATCAAGGTTCGGGAGGAGGAGCTTGAGGAACGGACCGTCGAGATGTTACACACGGCGGCTTATGTTGCTGCGGCTGCGGCGTGGCATCCGCCTCATATTCCAAAGTTCGACTTTTTCCTCATGTGAGTCTCCCCCCCCGTGCCACCCGGTGGCTCAGGGTATTGGGGTCTGAATCAGAACACTGACTGCCTAATCCTATGTGTCAGACATCATCTCAACTCGGCTCCGATCTTCCTCACATTCAATAAGCAGAAATGGATCTCGACGCAGACAAAGGTCCGTCTCTTGGAGTGGAAGATGCGCCTTGACCTGGTTCAGTACATTGCCCGCGGCTGCCCGCCACTGCATGCGGATATCTTGCGGACGTACATGCCCGCGAGGGACCAGAAGCCTGTCTCTCACTCTCGGGAGCTGCTGGCCAGGTTCCACATCATCCCGGATGATGGGCACACGATCAAGGTTGTTCGGGCCATGTTGATTGGGCAGGAGGTGTCGAAGCCGTACGCGGGTAAGGACTGGATCCGGATTCAGACAGACGATGACTGGTTGAGGATGCATTACCTGCTTCTTGATGGCGTCGAGGGCCAGCCGAGCCAGTGGGTGCGGTCGGCCGGGTTTGAACAGGCTTGGGAGGATGTTCCTCAACGGACCTGAATGTGAGTAGAGTTGGAAGGGGAATTTGAGATGGCAGTATGCGAGGGGGGTCTTGGGGGGGGGGGGTTTGGGTATTCAATGTATTCTTTTTTATGTACGATAAAATCTCATGCGAATTTTGCTTATTCTAGACCCATCCATCCTTCATCGTCGTCGGACCCCTCTTCAGATTCACCTTGGTCATTCACGTCTAACAGCATCTTCTCCGCCCCATTCTCGAGGCTCAAATGCGATGAACCCTTCTTCTCTACAGCCCCCTGATCAGCCTGGCCGATCAGGTAGTCAACCATATATACGTTCTCGTCAGCCATCCTCCGGATCTCGTCTCTCATCCGCGCAATGGCCCGCGACACAACGCGCAGCTCCACATCGAGCTTGCCCCGGTTGGCGCTCAGCCAAGCGCCGTGCTTGTCGACGAGGGCCTTGATCCAGAGGAGACAGAACTCGATGTGGGGCGACTCCTCGGTCTGGGCGGCCACAAAGCGAAGCAGCCGAGGCGCATATACGGTCGGTACATTGGCCACGAGGAGCGAGATATCGGCGGGGGGAACGGCTTGGAAGACACGCTTGATCAGACCGGTCTCGTTGAGACGGAATGCCATGATGATGGCCTTGAGGTAGTCCTTTTCATTCTCCAGCACGGCGAGGGTTGATGCTGGCGTGATTTCCATATTCAGGTCGAACGGGTCGAACTGAAGTGTGTTGTCCAGGCTGTAGATCAACAATCCTTCGGTCGAGGCGGCACAAAAGGCTGTGCCGGTGGGTGAGAAGGCTATGCCTGAGACGCGAACCTCGGCAAATTCCTTCCTGGCGGAGGGATCGCCTCCTCGCTTTGATCCCGGCAGGCTCTTGTCGACGCGGTTTTCACGGTCAGACTCCTCGCCTTGCTGGTCAATTTCGGCGAGGGCGCCGGCCTCGGTCAGGAGCTTGCTGTTGAGGAACTCTTGGGTGCCGGAGAGGGAGAGGTTCACGCTGACGGTGAACTTCTTGAGGAGCACCATGGTGCTGACCGAGTACAGGCAGATGTACTTGCTGTTGCCGCCTGCAATCAGGCAGCTGCCGTCTGTGCTGTAGTCGATGGTGTTGAAGCTCTTGGTACCAGATACGTTGGCGGCGGTTCTGCGGTCGGATACTTTACGGCCACCGGAGGCGTCTCGTCTCCCGTCCATTCCGGCGACCTGCTCCGCTTCTGACAATGACCAGAATGTGAGTTGGCCGTCGAGGGTTGAGACAGCGAGCTGGAGTGAGTCTGGCCGGATGGCGACATCGAGGACATCCGCCTGGAGCTGCAGGGGCTCGCTGGTCTGGGTGCGGTTGAAGATGGACCAGATGCGAGCTGTTCTGTCCCAGCTTCCGCTCACCAACGAGCTGCCGTTTGGTGCGAATGCCAGTGCCGAGACGGGGCCCTCGTGGCCGGAAAGCTGGTCAAGGAGTTGACCCGTTTGTACGGACCAGATGTGGATATCGAACGAGTCGAGCGATCCTGCGGCCACGACCTCGCCACTGGGGTCAACGGCCATGCAGGAGAATGATAGTCTCGTGGGGGCGGTGAATGTACGGAAGTTCCGGTATCTGATGAGATCCCATGCTCGTATCGAGCCGTCCAGACTGGCTGTGAACAGGACGTTGCCCTTCTTGGTGAATTCGCAGGCTGTCACGCCGCTGGTGTGCTCAGTGAACGTGACAATGCAGAATCCAGACTCGATATCCCACACTTTGATCTTTCCATCATCTGCAGTTGTAATTATGCGTTGCCCGTCTGGCGCATACACCAGGGAGTTCATTGAGTCAAAGTGTCCTTGCTGCTTGAGGATATAAGACTCGGATTGCCATTCCCAGACCAGAAGCTGACCGAGCTTGGAAGCACCGAAAGCAAGCCACTCCCCACTTGCGTTGATCGTGACGAAGTCGATATCGTTTTGGGAGATGCTTAATTTGTGAATATTGTTGAAGTCGGGCATCTCGTACAGTCCGAATGTACCGTTGGAGAAGCCGGCAACGAGAAGATTCGATCGCGGGTGAAAGTCAGCGCATCTAACGTGAGCGCTCCCCTGCATGAAATAATGCTTTTCGACAATCCGCCATCGCATGTCGGAGTCGTCATCGTCCATCCGATCATCCTCGGTGTGGTTCTTGGGCTTGGCGTACTTCCATGTGAATACGGCTCCGTCCTTGCTGACAGTGTAGAGTGTCTCTTGATCCTCCGAAAACCATGCGCCAATGACCGCCTGCTTGTGGCCGGCCAGAATCGTCGGCACAAATCCGTCCTCGGGGTCCAAGCTCCATATCCGGGCGGTCAAATCTTTCGAGGCTGTCAGGAAGAAACGAGAGTCACTCGACCACTCGATGAACTTCACATCGTCGAAGTGGCCAGTGTGTGTATGATGTCGTACAAAGGGCGCAAAATCAAGGACCCCTTCGGTGTTGACGTCGGGGGTAGAGGGCACATGCCAGACCTCGGTTTTGCGGCCAAGTCCTACGGCAAAGTGCTTGCCAGAGGGGGAGAATGCGAGCGCTGTGACCGGCGATCGGAAGGAGAAGTGATAGATGGAGATGCGACGGTGGACATTGGTGAGAATGGCATGTCCATCCTCGTCAACGGAGAGTAGAAGGTTGCCGCGGGGAGAGAGGCCGATGCGGGCGATGTTCTTGCGATGAGCAAAAGGGAGGGTGTGGGATTTGTTACTGTGAACCCAATCAGCATTCGGAATATTCTCTCCAAGAGGAATTACATTACATACTCGACTAGGTTGAAGACAGTGACGCGATTGCCGACTGGGGAGAATAGATGGGTGCCGTCTGGGCTGAAGAGCAGGTTGCCCTGGCAGTAGACTGTGCCCAGCAAGTTCGAGAACTATTCCAGAAAGAAGTTGTCAACAATTACCGTCCGGAATCCTATGATTGGGTACAAATCAATTGCTCATATCATACCTTGAAATCGGTCTTCATGGTCACCTGCCAGCCATCATCATCACATATACATTCAAGTATCAGAGGCCCGCGCTGGATCGCCAACAAAATTGAAATGCTTTCTTATCGGCGTGCAGATGATTTTTTTAGCGGGTCTCTGAGCTTATCGGGTATCCAGCCAAGCCAGCCAAGCCAGTCCCAGTCTGGAGCTCTAGGTTATCCGGCAGTGAGAGGGGCGCGCGGGAGATTAGTTGATCCAGCCCCCGGCCCCTAGGCCGCAAACGGCCAGGCGGTTTCTTGATTCAACGTTCCTCGCTCAGGTCAGACTGGGAGGAAAAGGAGTCGACAAGAGGTCCGTGCTCACCTGCCAGCGTCCCTGAGTGCCCCTTGGCCAATCAGCGGCGTCCTGCTGGCAGGGTACTTGCACCTCCCCATCCATGTCCCCAGCTCAGGGCAGCCAGCAACTGGTTGAGGCAGGAAATTTGGAGCCATCCAATCCATCCCTTCGTTCCCCTGACTGATTCCCAGACAGCAAAGTTGCGAGCTCCTCCTAATCCAACCCACCGCTCACATCACCCACCCACCCGCGTTACTTCAATTGTTCACCACTGCTTCCACCTGCAGTGCTGTCCCGATACCCTTTGTTTTCTTTGGAATAGACTCAGCTGTAATTTGGTCCGCCCGTCGCGTTAGACACCCATACTCGCCATGGCTTCAGAGAGCGCCTCACCGATTGGCATTGCCAACCTGCCCAACCAGCGCCATAAGATTGTTGCGAAGCGTGGTGCTAGCTTCACCATCATGGTAGGTCCAGCTTGCTACAGAGATGCAGCAAATTATCGTGCCCTGCCGGCAGATTTACAGATGTTAATTATGTTCCGAATATTAGGTTGCTGGAGAGTCTGGCCTGGGAAAGACCACTTTCATCAACACCCTGTTCTCTACCACCATCAAGAACTATGCCGACCACAAGCGCCGCCACCAGAAGCAGGTTGACAAGACTGTGGAGATTGAGATCACCAAGGCTGAGCTGGAAGAGAAGTTCTTCAAGGGTAAGAACAAATGCCCACCATTTCCTTCTTAACGAGAGCTCCCTTCCATCTCTTGCATATTGTCAATATGGAGGCGGAATAGCTAACACGGTAATTCCTGATCAATAGTCCGCCTGACCGTCATTGACACTCCTGGATTCGGCGACTACGTAAATAACCGCGACTCGTGGATGCCCATCATCGAATTCCTGGACGACCAGCACGAGTCTTACATGCTTCAGGAGCAGCAGCCCCGTCGTCAGGACAAGATTGACCTCCGTGTTCACGCCTGCCTGTACTTCATCCGCCCTACCGGACACACCCTGAAGCCCCTGGACATTGAGGTCATGAAGCGCCTGTGCTCTCGTGTCAACCTCATCCCCGTCATTGCCAAGGCCGACACACTCAGCCCCTCCGACCTGGCCAAGTTCAAGCAGAGAGTTAGTTGGAAAGGGACCATTTGACTATACTCTTCTCAGGATGTGCTAACCCAGTATGCAGATTATCTCCGTCATTGAAGCCCAGAACATCAAGATCTACCAGCCCCCTATCGAGGAGGATGACGAAGCTGCCGCTCAGCACGCGCGCAGCCTGATGGCGGCCATGCCATTCGCCGTGATTGGCTCCGAGAAGGATGTTAAGAGCGCGGACGGCCGTGTCGTCAAGGGACGTCAATACTCTTGGGGTGTTGCGGAGGTCGAGAACGAGGACCACTGCGACTTCAAGAAGCTGCGATCGATCCTGATCCGAACCCACATGCTCGACCTCATTCACACAACCGAGGAGCTGCACTATGAGGCCTACCGCGCCCAGCAGATGGAGACTCGCAAGTTCGGCGAAGCCCGCCCACGCAAGCTCGACAACCCCAAGTTCAAGGAGGAGGAAGAGGCTCTCCGCAAGCGTTTCACCGAGCAGGTCAAGATCGAGGAACAGCGCTTCCGCCAATGGGAGCAGAAGCTCATTGCCGAGCGCGACCGCCTCAACAAGGATCTCGAGCAGACCCACTCGCAAATCAAGCAATTGGAGGCCGAGCTGGAGAACATGCAGGGCACCGCTGTC